CCAGTTCTACAGGAACCATGCAGCGGATGCAGAGTGAGAAGAGCATCTTGGATGAACCAGACTCTCCTCTAGAGGTTAGCATGTTGCAATGAAAGGTTTCAATTCTGTATATTGTATCACCCTCTTATGGTGCTATGAATGCCTTCATCTTAGTGTTGCTGACCGTTTCCCTTTTCAGCACCAAGGATAGAGACAGATATGTACTGAGGAAAAAGAAGCAGTTATTTACTCTATATCACAGTGAAATACAGACATTTGTTTTTGTATACATGAGTATAACAAAAGCAGTTCGTTTAATGGCATACATTAAACGTGTTAAAAACATTTTTTTCAAGTTTTGATGACTTTTAGATGTTTTGTATCTTAATTAATTTGTGTATGTCTGTTTCTTTTGTTCTATCTCTGCAAATATATCCTGTAGTTTGGTATTTTGGACTCTTAGGGACGCTGTAGTCCAGCATGCTACTATCCAAGAGTTTATGGTCATCAGTTCCTCCCATCTTTACACGCCTTCGATGAGAGAAACACTGTAGCACAGGGTGGTTCGTTATTGTGCCTCGTATCTCACTTGAGCTTGTATTTCAAAACTTTTTTTGTCGGAATATTTGTTGACGCTTTTTTGGATCTATCTTTAAAACAAATCAATATCAGTACAATTGCGTTTTTTACCTTAACCTTATGAGGAGAACAATGAGACGGCAAGTACTGTTTTTCTTCCCTTTCCTTTTCATCAGTTCGGTTTTCGGGCAAATCAGCTATTCTATCAACGAAGAAATGTCTGCAGGCTCCATAGTTGGAAGGATAGCAGAGGATTTAGGTTTAGATGTAGAGAGACTGAAGTCACGTAAGGCTCGTGTCTTCTTTGGCGACAGCAGGGAATACGTTGAGCTTAACAAAGAGAGGGGAGTTCTTCTTATAAAAGAAAGGATAGATCGGGAGGCGTTGTGTGGCCAAACCATTCCTTGTGCGCTACATTTCCAAATCATTTTAGAAAAGCCCGTTGAATTTTATCGAATAATGATTGAGGTTGTAGATATAAATGATCACCCTCCCGTCTTTGAGAAAGGTGATGTTACATTCAAAATAAGCGAGTCTGCAGTCATCGGATCAAAATTTGATTTAGAGGGGGCTGTGGATTTAGACGTCGGCGTGAATGGTTTGCAAACATACACGTTGGAACCCAAGGATAATTTTTCTCTGAAACTCCACAGTCAACCAGACGGCTCCAGGAATGTTGAGATGATTTTAAAACAACCCCTCGATAGAGAGAAAAGCGAGCATTTGTCCCTAGTGTTGACCGCATTAGATGGGGGAGAGCCGCAAATGTGTGGAACAATGAAGATTTTCATCAACGTATTAGATGTTAACGACAATGCACCCGTTTTCACCGAGTCAATCTATAAAGCTACGGTTGCAGAAAACTCTCCAAAAGGAACCGTTGTAACTTCGGTTAGTGCGTCAGATGCTGACCATGGATCGAATGGAAAACTAAAATATTCAATTAGAAATACTTTTGATGACGTCCGGCATTTGTTTGAGGTAAATGAAAATACTGGCGAGGTTAGATTAATTGGAAATATTGATTATGAAAAGTCAAAGAATTATCAAATAAATGTACGTGCAAGTGACGACGGTGGACTGACGGACACATGCAAAGTAACAGTCGATGTAATTGATAGGAATGACAATCATCCGGTAATTAATGTAATGTCCGAAACAAAAACAATTTCTGAAGATGTAAAGAGCCACACGGTCATAACAATAATTAGCACTCAGGATATCGATGACGGTGACAACGGCAAAGTCACATGCTCGATTAGTGAAAATATTCCTTTTATGTTGAAATCTTCCGAGAGTAATTTTTACAGCATAGTGACAGACAGTGAATTAGACAGAGAGAGAGCCTCTGAGTATAAC